CATTTGTATAATACTATGTGTCAACATTATAATATCAACAACAAAAGTTTAATTCCATTTCGATGTGAGTTGCAAGAAAATAATAACTGAATTAACTCCATAAATAGATGTTCGAAACTTAAGAAACTTTTTGATCTTCTTATGAAAATCTTTGGTCCTTTTGAGTTCCAAACACCTTTATGGAGTAGATTAGTTTTTTTTTGGTCCTATTGCCCGATCACTACACTTAGCTCAACTTTGACAAAGGTTTTGGTTCATTATCATGCTGAAAATCGCAAAAAACTATGTTGTTCTGTTCGGTGTACTCAATTATATGATTCATTTTGTTGGCCAAAAACGTCCCAGAAAGAAAAACGATCCAACATTATTTGTGTTTCAACATCAGGATTAACTCTTCTCTTCAAAAAACATGGCCGCAGCCTTAAATTATTGCTCTCCATTCTGTATTGGGTCTTTGCTAAAAGGGTATGTTATAATATTTCCTTCAGCCTTTGAGCATCGCATACTCTGTCTGAATTTAAGAAGGAAATATGGACCCGTTTGTAAATATAACTGGTTTTTATTAGTCTTGCGTAATCAATTTCAATATTCTACCTAAAATTGTACAAAATTTTTGAAAAAATTGAATTTATTTAAGTAAACTCCGTCCCATGTCACTGCGGGATTCATAAACGGTTACATCATCGTACATTAAAGACTTAAAAAGCATGGAGGTCAAACAATTAAGGTTGTGGTCAAGATTTTTGGTGAGTAGAGTAAGTCTTGATGTTGTAATACAAATAAAATTGGATTGTTTTACTTTCTGGGACATTTTGGCCAACAAAATGAATCAAATGATTAAGTACATTGAACAGAACAACTTACTTTATTGTGGTTTTCAGCATGATAATGAACAAAAGCTTTGATTGCCCATCAATATCTCCTTAGAGACGCTGTTCAGCGTTTTGAAGCGCTGGGTCGGATCTCGCCGTTTTAGAAAACATTGCAGGTGGCGAATATATTAAACTTCGATTGGGATTCATTACGAACAACACTAGTAACTAATCTACTCCATAAAGGTGTTTGAAACTCAAAAGGACCAAAGATTTTCATAAGAAGATCAAAAAATAGCTTAAGTTATGAACATCTATTTATGAAGTTAATTCAGTTATTATTTTCTTGTAACTCACAGCGAAATGGAATTAAACTTTTGTTGTTGTTTTTATAATAATTTTGAATAAATCACTTATAATATAAAATATAGCACTTTGTATACGATGCCAAAAAAGTTGCTTAGGTTTCGAACAATACTGTATACATAATTACTGTATAATTATTCCGGAGATCTGCCCAGGAAAAACCCTGGGTAACTGGGGAGATCCGGAACCTTGGGAAGACTCTTCGCAAACTATTTAACCGGGCACGGCGTAAAAAGACCGCAGTATACTGGGATGAGTATCGTAATAAACTTGGTGAATATAAGAAAATCGTTCGAAAAGCCAAACGAGACTCCTGGAAACTTTTCTGTGAACAGGTAGATAGCGTAAATGACGTATCGAAGATAAAAAAATTCCTATCCAAAACTCATGTCCAACCGGAATCTATGATCGATGACACGGGCAGGAGGCTTGAGGATATGGAGGAGACAATGAAACTCCTAATGGATTCTCATTTCCCACCCGGTATATCGAATAACATAGATGAACCGATATTGGAGGAAGGGGAGGGTAACACGGAAATAGTAATTACAACTGACATGGTGAAAGGGGCAATCAAGAGCTTTGCTCCCTATAAAGCTGCAGGGCCGGATGGAATTTTCCCGGCACTTTTGCAGATGGAGGCGGGACTGGTTTCCGTACATCTGTCACAGATATTCACGGCATGCTTAAAATTGGCATATACCCCAGTTAAATGGCAGGATGCAAGGGTAATATTTATACCCAAACCAGGGAAACCTAGCTATGCGACACCTAAGTCCTATCGACCGATAAGTCTTACGTCCTTCCTACTTAAAACCTTGGAACGGATAGTCGATAGCATGGTTAAAAGCAGCATACCATACAATGACCTTAAATATAAGCAGCATGCTTATGTAAAGGGACGATCGGTGGAAACCGCTTTAAATGAAGTTGTCCACTACATAGGTGAATCTTTCGATAGCAAACTGTATACACTGGCAGTATGCATTGACATCGAAGGCGCTTTCAATAACGTGCACACTGATACCCTTATCCAATCCCTAGACCAGTTTTATGTTGACCGGGTGCTCCGTAACTGGATCAACTACATGCTAAGGAACAGATGGATAAGCTGCGAGATGTACGATATAACTATCAGGAAAAAGGTATTTCGCGGTATACCACAGGGTGGCATTTTGTCACCTTTACTCTGGGTCACCACGATTAATAGCCTCCTAAGGACCCTAACCGAGAAAGGACTTAGACCTGTCTGCTATGCAGACGATGTCGTAATACTTTTAAAGGGAAAGGATCCAAATTACTTGTGTAGAAGAGCTGAGGAGGCTCTGAATACGGCCTTGAGCTGGGCTCAACCGAGAGGCCTCAATGTTAACCCGGCGAAGACGGAAATCTGTCTTTTCACAAGAAAGACAAAAATTTCTACATATACTGATCCTTGCTTCTTGGGCAAGAAGATACCGGTGACAGACAAAGTTAAGTACTTAGGTGTAATACTTGACCGGAAATTAAAATGGAGACACCACATAGAGGATAGGATCAACAAGGCACATCGGTGCTGGGCGATATGTAGGAGAACCATAGGCATGAAATGGGGTCTTAGTCCTACTATGACAAATTGGCTTTATAAAAGTGTAATTAGACCAATTCTAGCTTATGCTTCAATAATCTGGTGGACTGCTTTGGACAAAAAGTGTAATATCAAACTACTACAGGGAGTTCAGCGTACATGCTGCTTGGGTATAAGTGGTGCCATGTGTACTACTTCAACCAAGGCTCTGGAAACGTTGCTAGATATTCCACCCATTGAAACATATATAAAATATGAGGCGGCGCTTACAGCCGAACGGCTCTTTACTTTAGGCGAACTGGCCAAAAACGGTTATAGGACACGTCATCAATGTATACTGGACACATTGGAAGGTTATACACATTCATCGGACGTGCCTGATCGCATACCAGACACTGAATATGTCGGAAACTTTGAAACGCTAATCCCAGATAGAATGTCTTGGTCAAGCGGAACATTAGAGCAAATACCAGTAGGAATCCGTTGCTACACGGATGGCTCCAAATTAGGGGACAAAGTGGGTCTGGGGTTCTATATTGAAGACCCAGAAACAGAAATATACCACCGTTTACCTAATCATAACACAAGCTTCCAGGCAGAAGTACGAGCAATAACGGAATGTGTAAATTGGATTAGAATAAATATGGCGCCCACAGGGCTTAATATATTTACCGACAGCCAGAAGGCAATTTGTGCGATATCAGGTGATAGAATTAAATCTAAGACCGTATTGGATTGTAAGAAAGCTTTAACTGAATACTCTCCCAGAGGTAAGGTTCACATCATATGGGTACCAGGCCACTCGGGAGTAATCGGCAACGAAAGGGCGAATGTAATAGCTTTAAAGGGAAGGGAGCTCGATGTAGTTAACCTGACAAACGCAAAACCATTCGACGCAACAAAAGCTGAATTAAAAATATGGATGAGAGAATCCCATAAGGCCTCTTGGAATAATGAAACGGTGGGTAGAACCACAAAGATTCTATGGGGTGACCCTGATGAGAGCAAGACGAGAAATCTTCTCAAAATGAGCAAGTCTGAGGTTAGTATGATGGTACGTATTCTCAGTGGACACACAGGATTACGAGCACATCTATACAAAATTGGACGTGCGAATTCAGACGAATGTAGAGCATGTGGAGAGGACAGTGAAACTCTGGAGCACTTTCTTTGCCATTGTCAGGCATTCGTCGAAGTTAGATCCAAGTATCTTGGAAGTGATGTTATTCCGGAAATAACATTCTTAACCAACACCGATTGGAAGATTCTTAGGAATTACGTCCAGGAAACTGAGTTTCTGAACATTCAGTAAACAATTTTTTTTTTTTTTTTTTTTTTTTTTTTTTTCTTGAATTGGAGCGCACAACAGGCCCGATAGTGGCCTAGGTGTATTTCTTCGGATTTGATGTAGTATACATCCTCCTATCAACCTAACCTAACCTAACCTAACCTATAATTATTCCGATCGATTTTGTTTTAGCTTCTCCAAACTCCGAATTTTGTAGTTAAGTTCACAAAAAAATTAAATTATATTGATTTTTTTTTACAACTGATTCTTTTTAGCTTATCAACACCAGAATCGTATTTTAATAAAGGTTCTTGTTATTAAAACTTTAAGAAAAAAAATTAATTTCATACAAATTTAAATTCCACAACTGGAAGCGGTTTCATTCCGAACGAATTTTTCGTTTTCTTTTTCTGAAGAAGCAAAAATACGGAAATAATTCTACTTTCGATCGAAATGGAATTCTGTGACAGGCCTGATACGTACACTTTATTAAAAACAATATGATATTTATTACTTATTTGCAATATTTTTATTTTTCCTGAAACGGAGATAATCCACAATATTTGGATTTTCTAAATCATTTTTGATCTTTTTCTATATCGTTTGGCTGCATTCAGAGTTTAAGAAATTAATCTTAAATGCTTCTTTTGGTTCACATACATAATTTTAGAACGATATGACAGTTATAGTTAGCCTAGTGCAGTGCTCTCTGAACCGTAATGACATGAACATCATTTCCATTATTTTCTTTAATCTCTGCAGTAATCTGAATATCTGGCTGTATCTGTATCTTGTGTATATTATTTCTTTAATCTCTATCTCTTGGTTATGCAAATAAAGAATAATTTTTCACTGAGATTCTGCGAATTCTTTTTATTAAATATGTATGAAAAATTATCAAATTACAATGTGTGTAGAATTTGTGACTCTATTAGTAAAAAGAAAATTATTTTAATTTTTGTTTTAGGGCCAACATTTTGGGGACCAGACTGGAAGGCCGCCTTATGCCGTTGTACGGCTTGCATGTCTATATATGAAACTGAAAAAATTGAATTTCTCTTGGATCCTGAAGATTCAGCTAAAAGTTATGAAGAGCGTGGCATTAAGAAACATGGATCCGAATCATCGTATGAACAAGGCATTCGTGCTTTAGCTTCTATTGATCGTGTACAGCAAATTGATGTCATAACCGAATACAATCGAATGAAGGATAAACTTAAAGAATATTTGCAAACATTTGTGGCCACCAAAAAAGTAGTCACTGAAGAAGACATAAATCGTTTCTTTGCGGAAATGCGTAATGAGAAAAACGTTCAAATTGGTTTGCCCTACATGTGTCGCTAAGATACAACAAATAAATTACTAAATATTATTAATGGAAAATTACATTTATAAACTTAAATAACGAATATATTTGTCTGTCTATATACATATATTATACATACACACATATTTTAATAAATTGCTAGTAATCCGCGATATTCGGTATGCATACATTCCCATTTATTATCACTATTTTTTTTTTCTCTAAATAATTTATGTTTATTTTTGTTGATGCAAGGTTCTTATTAAATAAAAGTTATTATACTCCCAAAAATATTAACATAATAATTCATTCTTAAGAAATCTTTAAGGTTTGTATCTAGTGTACTGTCATGTTGTTGTAACAGTTCGACTGTGGCCTATAATTTTTTTCTAGGGAAACATTTTCAATTAATACTAGATGTTGCGAATGCAAATGCCAAAGCGAATGCGAATAGTTTAATTCAAGTAAATTTGAATAGAAAAGTATGAATGACGAAAATTCATTGAGCATTCGTTATATCCCTAGTTAATACAGCTGTTGCTGAGTTGACAATCTTTGGCTGAGTAAGACTCGAATCTTTCGAGATCGAAGAACCATTGTCGCGGAACCGTTGTTGTTGTAACAGCTAAAACTATACAATAATCTATTTGTCCAGACCTAAAAATTGGGCTACTTCAACTGGATGCGTACATAAATCCATTGGACAGAGTGAAGTAAAGTTGGCTGAGCAGTTGAAAATGTGGTGGGTGTCATGAGGACCCTGACCACTTGCAGTAGGTACATTCGTTATAGACGGCACGGTCTATACGAGACCAGTAGGCATTGAGCCTGTTGCTCCATACCGATCTTAGTTGTGCCAGAACTACTCTTGTTTCCCGCGGAAACTGTGTGATGTTAAAGTTGGGATGACTCCTCCGGTGACATCCTAGGAGAAACTGTTAGTCAACATGACATTGTGTTCCTTAATTGGGAGGACCTTCATTTCCTTGTGCAGGTTTATTACTAAATAAACACACCAAGTACAGAAAGCCATCAATGTTAGAATAATCGGTCATTTACCACAAGATTGGCATAACTCAAAATTCGGTTTTCATGCGCTGTTCTAAAGTCATATGTAGTATACATACATATTAGGCTTCACGCAATATTTTTGAAATTGTGATATCATACCTTTTATGACAGTTTTTGGAACAGCGCTAATATTCGCGTAATTATTTTGTTAAAATTTCAACTCCTTCATCTGCATATCTGCGGCCAAAATACCGATTTTGGGCGACAGTTTTTTATAGACCGAAAACTGCTGTACATATTTCAAATCTGACTTTAGTATACTATTCTACAGGAAAATTTAAGATATATAAACTTAATTTGACAGAATTTAGATGCACTATAAATGCATAAGAGCAAAAGAAAAATTGCAATTTAAAAAAAAAAAATCAAAACCTGATTTTGCCATTCGTAAATATAATATTCAATGCCCTTAAAAAAAATAGTGTTAACATTTTTAATTTATTGTAATCCCTTTAGGAGTTATTATGGTTATAATGTTGGCTTGTGGTTTAATAATTTTCCATCAAACAATGGTGTTTTTCATCATCATCTCCGAATTTAATAAAACTCCATCCAATTAATGTTCCATATATAACTTGTATAATGACAAATTTTGGGCCTTATAACTTTCGTGGTTTTCGAAATATAGCGTTGTAAAGTTTAAAATCTGAAAATTTAAAGTCTCATCACATCTAAAGGGTTAATGATAAAATTTTTGTTTTTGCACCATTTGCCTCAGCAAAAAGCATACTTTGATTATGCACAAAGAAAAAATTTTTTGAAATATTTTTTGAAAAAAAGTGCATCTTTGGATAATACTAAATGCACTTTTGAAGCATTATAAAAGTGTGAAAATAAGCTCATTCTTATTGATTTTTCCTATAAAATCAATTATTAGAGCATGATTTCCTATAAATTCTACAGTTTCTGCTCTGTAAAAAATGTAGCTCAAAATCAGTGGTTTCCGCCTCAGATATGCAGAGGAAGGAGTTGGAATTTTGAAAAAATTATTACAGCATAGTAATCACTGAAACCTTCTAAAAAGTTGTGATATCACAAAAACGGGAAACATTTTATTTTTTGAAACGAAGCCTAATACATATGTATGCAGTTTTATGATCAAAAATGATGGTAGGGGTTTAAATAGAAACTCACCTTATCGGCCTATTTAGGTCCAATAGGTCCTAAATATACCAAATGAAAATTAAATAAAAATATTTTATTTATGTTAAAATTATATTATAAAATGTATAATTACAAAGATCTGGGACAAAACTGCGGCATTCGATATCGATCGAAATCTGAATAGAATTTAAATAAAGATTTCGAACTTTATCGTTTGTCGCAATTTAGCCTCAAATTTTAAAAACTATTCGGTAACATTTAGAAGTTTTGTAATCAATAAAATTATGAAACAATTTGTATTTTATTGTCTATTTACGTACGTTGCGTTCTAGTTCTACGAATAATATAGTATATAGTAGTTAATCTTAAAATTACTATGTTTTTTCTTATATAAAATATCAAAAATTGAGATTCTTTCTTTATTAATTTTTCTTTTGTATACAATTCAAACCCTGAATTTATATGTATCACCATTTTTGGATCACAGTCAAGTCGAATAAGATTTTCTATGCGAATCTATCACTGTGCAACAGGATTGATTTTCTTGATTATTTTGAAATAGAAATTTATATCGAGTTGATTTCTGTGGTCCTGCTGTCAGCATCTATATGTTTTTTAATCAATTGTTGCATTGACCTCTAAACATCTATGTTGATATTGATAGATTTGACATTCTTAATTCGTCGGAATTCTGTAACGGCACTAGATCGTCTAATTGTGATAGATTAAAAAGTGACGAATCGGTCGTTGTATTTGTTTCTTGGAATTGATTAAAAATCATATTGTTGGTTGTTCCGAAAACAGCTTGAACTTGTTGTATGTTGTTGGTGATGTTCATAGATTGCAACTGTGTGTTGGTATTGTTTTGATTGCTGTTGTTAATAGTATTGTCATAGATGGGTGTGAAACTTCCTCCACTGGTACGATTAACAAACATATTGGATGACGAGAATTGTGTCTGCTGTTGAGAACTTATCATGTTAAAATTGCTGTTGTTATTATTTTCAAAAAATGCATTTGTGTTGTTGTATTCAGCAGCACCTTGTGTTTGATGGCTGTTGGTGATACTTGTTGACATATTAAAGTTATTGTTTAGATTTTGATATTGTTCCTGATTCATTTGACTTTGATTGTAAACATTTGACATTTGCGATTGACTCTCCGCACTGGAGTTTCTCATTAAACCCGGTGAAGGTGTGGTTATATTTCGATTCATCATTGGTGATGTCGGCTGTGGTGATGGTGATGCTTGATAAGAATTTCTGTATGAACTACCATAATAGTTTGGCGATAAAACTACGAGAAAGAAATTATATTATTTACCGTTCACTAAGAGAAGCCTTTTACAAACTTACATGGTTCAGCTTTGACCTCAGTAATATTGGATAAAGGTGATTGTTGTGCCGGTTGTATATTCCACATAGAAGTGGTGTCCATATTTGTAGCTAAAAAATATAGAAGAATTAATTTTTATTAAATTGAACTTATTTTTTTAGGGGATAACGATAATGGCAATTTGTTAAAGCAGAAAACGTAATATTAATAACTAAGTTTAAATTAAAATAAATGGTTTAATAAACTAAAAAATACATTCAAATTAATATGTTAGAACAAAAAAACATCATTTCCAAACATATTTGAAGCCTTTTTAATAAAAATTTGTTCATGGTTTATAAAACAAGATTCCATAAGAAAATTGTTCTATAAACATTTGTAATGATAAATGTAATTGGAAATGATGTAATATAGTGTTAATTGATTAAATAATAATTTAACAAATAAATTAATCAATACATAAGCAAAATTATAAATGGCACTGGTTTTTAAATTCCAAAAAAACTCCAATCATGCATAATTAACTTACAAATGTCAAATAATGTTTCAAATCCAAACACATCTCTATGTTTCTGAAGTCTTTTCTAGCTGAGTGATATTAAGTTAAAATAGTTTTGTACCCTATACCATTTATGTACTTAAATTAATAAATAAAAGAATCCCGATTTGTTCTCAAATATAATCTTAATTTATATATAAATATATCAATAGTTTTGAAATAGGGTTTCATTTATTAAATAATCATTTTTAACATTTATTTACACATTTAGTAATAGTAATCAATATATGTTGGTTTTAATAACATCATTTTTTTTTATCTTAATATTAAATTGTATGTTGGTCCATTGTGTTATTAATACTACGATTGTTTAATAATAATTTAAAACATTAGATATAACAATTAGTGTTCCACACCATTTTAAATTTGGATTTAAAACTTCATATATATATGTATGAATATAATGTATGTATGTATGTGTTGTTTTTATATAGGAAACCTTTAAAATGTTTCTCACATTTTTAAATTAGCTTATTACTCTTCAAAATAGGTATCATTTTTTAAAAATATTTCTACTTTCTAGACAATTTCTATTAAAGTCATCTTGTGTATAAAAATAATTACTAATCCTGAGCAATATAATGTAAACTTTAAGAACATAGATTTCAAAATTAAATGGAAGTATGGAAAATGTTTTCATAAGGAAAGAATGAATACTGAATACTGACCATTTACAATTACATTTGAAGTAATTGTAGTTGAAGCTTTACCGATTACAATTACTTGTTATTGTAATTGAAGTTTTGCCAATTACAATTATTTGTAGTTTTAATTGAAGTTTTGACAATTACAATTATTTATAATGGTAATTGAAGTTTTGCCAATTACAATTACTTGTAATTGTAAATTTTGTTCCTTATACATAATTACATGTAATTTTTAATTGTAATTAATTGTTAATTGTAATTGGTTATTGGTCAATTACACATTACAAGTAATTGTAATTGGAAAAACTTCAATTACTATTGCAAGAATGAGCATCATTAAACTCTAAAATAGTTGTGGCAATTAAGAGCAACATTGAAGTTTTAAAATAACATGATCTTTTTTGTCTAAATTTGGCGTATATTTTCTATATTTGAATTTACAAAAATGCATTTGAAGTACACTATTTAATAGATTTTATAAAAAGATCTAAAACTAATTAATCCCACGTATCGTAACGTTAAAGTTTACATTTGACTAATTCTTCTATAATTCAATTTTTAAACGAAGCACTACGATCAAATTTTAATTCTCAGAATTTTGTATTTAATAGTATTGTTATTATTTTTAAAACTATTTAATTTGGGATAATAAATTATTATTTATTTATTTGTAAACATATTTATATTTAAATGTATAAACACACAATAAATTATTAAGAACGAAGAATGAACAACTGTTTAAAATTTTGTTAAACATCTATAAAATCAATTAAATGAGTAATAACAAATTTTTGTTGCTTATTTAACAATATGGTCCCTGTATTTGTTAAGTTTTTTTTTTAAATACATATATATTTCTTTATAATATATTCTAGTGTTTATCAAAAAAGAAATGTAGATAGATATTTATATCTTAAAAAACATCCATATAAGTATATCTACATACATACATATGTATGTATTTAGTTGAATTTGTTTGTGGCATTAGGTGAGTATTAGGTACTTAATTAATGTAATAATGAAATACATTTATAAAAATATTTGAATTTCGTTTATAATTAGTTATTAAATAAATGAATTTTATTGTAGGTAATGTTGTTTAAATTATAATTAAATAAATATACTATGTTCGTTATTATTGTATGAATGTGAGTATGTATGTATATGTATTTATGCATGTGTGTATGTATATTTTTATTTAGTGTTTAAACACCACCAATGATAACCCAATGAATTTTGAATTTACTAAATACTTTTTATATTAATAATCTATAGTGAAAGTTTAACACCAACTAACTAACATTATTATCTACATGAGATAATAAAGTCAATCTATATTAGCGCAAAGTGTAAATCTGTGGCCATCAATTAATCAAGTTTGATAAAAATATTAGTTGCATGATATCAACATTTCACCATCGTAATAAAATATTTATTTAATATATGTATGTGTGTATGTATAGAATAGTAAAATAAGTTATAAAATGTAAGAAAATGATCAAACTTACAATTCGAAATGTTACATTGCATTTGATTTTGTTCGAGTTGCTGTATATTTCTTAATAAATTCATTGGATCAATACGTTTTCGTTTGAAATTATCTAAAATAAATGTGAATATTAAAATAAAATGAAATTGAAAAATGAAAAAATTTAAAACTAATTTGTTCACTTGACTAGTTGTTTTTCCTGATAGTACACACCCATCTCTGTCTATGAATATGATAATAATAATAATACTGAGGCATTCAGCTTGTCGCTACTTATTTTCTATTGGTTTATAAAATCATTTAAAAATGTGTCTAGAGCGACAGATAAAATCTTATGCATAATTTTTATGATCATTTGACGTTATTAAAACGAATTAAGACGAATTTAATAAAAATACTGAAACAATATTAGAAAGTGCAGCAAATGCAACAAACAAAATGGCTTAAATACTTGATGGAAATGATCACTGACTTTTTTGTGTAACGACGTAAAAGTCAGAGGACTTTGTGAGGAGTAAAACACATTTTTGTCAATTTTAAACAAGAACAACTAAAGTTTTCATGAAGTCATAAACAAGTATACAAATCATTGAATTGTATTTTCAATGCAGACCATTTGCTGCTGCCAAACGCATTGCCACTTCTTCGGGTGTTAAAACTGGTTGATTAGCGAAGACATTCTCATCATTGGCTTCATCACATTCTGATGGCATACTTGTATACAGAGCAAAATGTTCAGCCTCTGAAAGATCTACACCAGGGTCGAGTACTACACCATAGGCACCTTCGCATAAATTCTTAATACTTTGCCGATCGGCAATGGCTATAAGTTCCATATTGCCATCTGATATGGGGATATCGGCCAATTGTAATGCACTTAAGGTTTTGCGATCTAAAAGACCACCATCGTATCTTAAAGTGCAGGAACTGGAGTAAGATCTCTCCTGTTTGCCTAATGTTTCCGAGCTATCAACCTTTAGGGGTATGTGAATAACATCGGCATTACGTTGGGCAGGTCGCTTGCCCGATACACTACTAGCACTACGACCTACCGCTTTTCCCGTTTTCTCATTGGACTTGGGCTCAAGTCCCAGAGAATTTGGTTGTAAAGATTTTACCGAACGTATCGATGCACGATTGTTGTCATTCATTGAAAAGTTGCCAATACTGGGCTCACGACTTTGATTTGGAGTAGTAGCTTTCGAATTGGATTCATCACCTGAAACTGTAGCATCGGGTTTGCTTTTCTTACGTGAAAACAAACGTGAGAAGAAACCTTGTTTTTTCTTGGGCGAAGGCGTTGAGGTGGCCGATCGTTTGGTAGGACTTTGATCGGGTGTACGCATGATAATAATTTGTGAGGGAGGTCGTGAAGAAATACTACTATTGCGACTACTATTAGCTGTATTGCAAGGTGAGGTATCTGTGTTAGTGCCTGCCCACAATTCTTGGGAAGGTTTTCGCTTGGGGGGCAATGGCGGTAGAAATTGTTCTCCAATAGGAGAAGGTGTTCTAGGTGGTAACGGTATGGGGGGAGATGGCGGAGTTTGTGGCGTTTGAGCTGCGCTTAGTTTTATTCTTGGTGCCGGAGGATTTTTTAAAACTACTAAATCATTTTCAAGATTCTCATTATTATTAGCTTTGGCTTGAGCTTTCAATTTGGAATTCTCGATAGGAATCTCAATTGGATTCTTCAAAGCGATCTGAAGACTAGTATAAGTAGCGGTCTCGTCAAAGTTTTCATCAATATCTACAGACACTTGTGCACTAGCAGAACAATTTAAATTCTCTACATCATCGGCTAAGTCCCTACTATAGTCTCCCTGTAACTGATCGGCCATATTACGTTTGGCCAGTAATTCCAAACAATATCTATCATCTAGTTCTATGTCCTGTTCAATAAGTTCAGTATTCATGCGATTGTCATCTGTTAGGGAAATTGTATCTTGACTTGTAATCATAGCTTCTTTAATAGCATTCGTAGTGCCACTTAAAGATAAAATGTCGCCATTCTCAACTATAAGACTGTCGGTACGTTCAAACTCATTAGATTGCATCCACTCGGTGATTTTATCTACAGTCGTTAATTCGCGCGAATCTATTTCTCTTTTCCCTAAAATCTCTTCAACTGGTGTCGAAGTCTGAGTGGCATCATCCATAGTAGGAAAAGTGATTAGAGGGACGGGCACCTCAATTTCCATATCGCCGTTTGTACGTTCAATGTAATTGTAATTGTCAGTGTCGTCATTGTCCTCGTCATCATCAACGTCATCATCACCGTCATTGTCATCGTCGAAACTTTCTTTTTGGCGTTTTCGGGCCTCGTCGTGCTCGTTTAATGTGTCGGAACTAAGAGGCTTACTGGCTGAACTGTCGCTGGTAACAGTATCGTCGTTATCATTATCAGCATCCACCAACGAGGGTACTGAATATTTGGTCGCAGTTGTTTCACTGTCCAACGAGAGTATTTGCTGGAATATTTCCATGTCCTGTCTGTGTTTTAACTTGCGTTGTATACGCGGAAATGTTCGCATACCTAGATCAGGATGAAATTCGAACGGCAACGCTTCACTTGTTTCTCCATCCGATGGCCGGAATAATTGTATGTATACCTAGGAATAAATATTATTATAGGTTATATTAAAATAAACTCTAATTGGTTTTGCAACGTACCTGTACACTATGCTTTACGTCAGGATTGATGTAGCGGGGAGTTTTGAAGGTAATAGCGGCTTGTTTATGGACATCGGTCGGCTGAAATTGAGCAAAGTCTTCCCAATATACCTCATTGTTTCTCAATTCGAAAAATCGTATTTTAATATCATCTTTGGGTACTTTTTCACACAACAGAATAATTGAATCACCTCCTGTTACTTTGGCGGCGCAGCTACACAAACGACAGATAACTAAATCATTTATCGATTTCTTATCATGTATCGGATCGGAGACCACTGGCGGTATTGGATAAGGTTTCTTGACACCAGGTAAAGGTATAAAGGCTTGAAAGCACAAACGTACTACATTGAGATCTATGGATGATGGTTGATCTTTGTGGGCGAAACTTGCTGAAATCGAAAAAAGAAGCAGCATTTTAAAATTGTTGTTAAAATTAACTTTATAGAAAGTAATTACTTTTAAACGGGTCAATACGTTTTCTCTCTCGCTCTTCGAGAGCTGCTTTTATGTCTTTCTTTTTAACACATTGTATTCCCAAATTGCTGAAAACGGCTCTCATTGGTGGACCATTGATGGTTGCCAGGCAAACGCCATATTCACAGCCCTCCTTACCAACTAAATTGTGTGGATGTGGTCGATAGGGTTCATCTTTGGTAACACACGAAACAACAATTTTAACTTTTCCCTCATAGCCTTCTACTTCGATGGTGGGAAATGTTTTGTTCTCTGGCGTTGAGTGAACACCTGGTATAGAACCAGCCGAACGACCTTCGCATATGTATCGGAAACGAAGTCCCTTTAGTGCTGGTTGTTCTACGATTTTCAGACGAACCCCTTCCAAATTCGGAATATTGGGCTGTGATGATAAATTTGTGAAAGTGGGTGATGAGGATGCTGATGAGGTGGATGATACAGACGGTGGGTTATACATTCTGTCTGTTATGGTACTAAGAACGTCATCTACTGCAAATGAATAAAGAAAAGTTAAATTTATAAATAGTTTTCTTGTTTAAATGATCAAGTGTTTTCTAACGAATCAATTCTTTTAAAGATCAATGCAAATATTTCAATGGTTTAATTTCGTTATGCAATTTTGTGGCAAATAAGGAAGAGAATCTTTAATATTCATAAATACTTCAGAGTGATCTATTCATCTGAATGTATTCGTATGTTATTGTGTGCATGAGTAAAGAGTTTAATGAAAATTATTTTTATTTTCATTGTTTTTTTCTTTTGTTTTATTTTTCCCCTTGCCAGATGGATAAATAAGTCTGACGTCAATAATAAACAAATCGAATATTGATCGCAGTGATACGATTACGAGAGTACAAGTATCCGCGTGTGTTTTGTTTGTTTATTTTACCGGTTGGTTCACTAATGTTGAAATACATAAATATTAAGAACAGAAATTTAATTGTCTACATTTATTTCGAATGTTTATTTCGAAATTACAATTGAAATTTGTTTTGTTCAATTACTTGGTTTATTTATTTTACGTGTGTGCGAGTACGAATTCCAAATAGAACCACAAATTATATTGCGAAAATCTACAATTTCCAAAATGTTTTTCGTTTTATTTGTAATTACAAAAGTTATTTTATTGTTTCTTTAATGTCTAAAGTAGAATTGGCAAAAAAATATTATATATATTTTATGATCATACAATTGACATTGAAAAAATCCACAGCGCGTCGCGTTGATGGCAAAATACTTGTACATAATATATACTATATATTAGGGAAACAATGTTGCTTTGTACACAGTGGCGTATGAGTACTGAATGTGTTACTTATACGACACATTGCTCACTAAAGATAAATTAAAATTCTGTAAGCTTAAATAATAAAAAGATAACGAGGATTTATAAAAAAAGCTGAATGTGAATTTGTACACCCAAAAAATGTTAAATCTCTAACTTTGACGCCAATTTTCTACGTTTTCCGATTTTTTTTAATAATATTTTTAAAATTTTTATGATGTTTTCCAGAGATTCGAAAATTAAAAATTAAGTTCAGAATTTTTTTAAACTTTAATTTTTTTATTTTATTTATTTATTTTGGTGGATCGTGGTCAGGATGATTAAACATATGTATGTGTATATTTGTGGGTTTTGTTTAAATTCAGTTAACAAAATATGAATGTATGAATGAATAAGTGTGTGTTTGAGTTTACTTACGCATTACACTGAATTCATGATTGTGTTGTTCATATTGAAGAATATTTTCTACAAAATAAAAGAAAAAATAAAATAAAAAATATGAAAACAAAAACAATATTATGGTTTACATAATTAACACACACATACATTACATTCATTTATAAAATGTGGATTTATTAATAATCCAAGCGATTGGTTTATTGAAAAACAAAAAAGGAAATGTTAATTACATTGTTCAATCATCGCATTTATTATTTAAATATGCATCTGCTATATTTTACATGGATTAAATTAAATATACAGTAGTTTTCCGATTTAACGACCATTCAATTCTACGAACATCGCATTTAACGAACAAGCTAATTTTTCCTATTGACTACCTTAAATAACGAACAAAACTTGTTTTTTGTACTCTGTTTAACGAACTAATAAAAATATTATTATTTAAATGAAGATAAAATGGCATTTATCAAAAATAACAAATTACCTAAGTTGTAGCAAAAAACTATACCGTTGTTTTAAGCGGTGCTTTTATACCCAAAACTGTAACACATTCTGGGTTCTTATTAAATTTTAGTTCGATGTAGCTATGTCCGTCCGTCCTTCAGATAATGACTTTAACGCTCAATACTCGCTTAACAAACGAGTACGCCGATGAAATTCGATACAAACATGTTCTATACTAACCGAAATCTGTAACAAATTTTATGGGAATCGGTCCATAATTGACCTTACCCTCCATATCAGGCCCCCTTAAGAAAATTACTTCAACGCTCATTCTCGCTTAAAAATACGAGTATAGCGATGAACTTCGAGAAATAACTTTAAAGCTCATGACTGAATTAAAAATACAGCGATTAAATTCGACACAAATATGGTTTGAAGGTGGGTATATAAGATTCGGAATTTTGTGTTTTGTGCTATTTTTATAAAAAAAAGAATTAATTTTTATAAAATACATTTAAAAATATTTTATGTACCTATTTTTAATTATTTTCCTACCAAAAACCCGCGTTTTAGTTAGTACTGCATATAACGAACTTTTCAATTTTACGAACAGGCCTGACAACATATGGGTTCGTTAAATCGGAAAACTACTGTATTACGAATCCATTCAATCCTGCCAGTTACATCATGTTCTCTAGACACACTTATGCACAATATTATGTTCTTAAGACATGTTGAATTACTTCGGACTCTGAATTAATATTTCAACATATAAAGACATATAGGAAAGTATAATCAGACATGGCAATGGTATCATATACCCTACAAGATTTATGAGTATATAAATCTTAACAATTATTTAAGTTTTATATAAGAATCATCTGTGTTAAAGTTTACCTTTATTCGTCCTTGGAATTTATGTTTAAAATTGCGACCCACAGTTTGATTACGAGGTTTATACAGAAGGATATACATAGCTAAATCGACTTAGGGGTGAATGACCAATATTTTTATGACTTATAAACATCAAAAGCCCATAAAACTCACCCACTATATTGATGTAGGGTATATTATTGCGCTCCTTTATTAAACTCTTTGATGGGAATCGAAGCCACGATCAACAGACTAAATGACTTAAGCACTACCATCTAATCTATCAGAGACAACCTTCCTAAATTTGGAAATTTTATTTAATTTTAATGCTAGAAATGGTTTGAATGATGATGGCTAAATAATTTTACTTTTGATATTTTGCTATTGAAAAAAAATATTTTTCGTTTTAAAAAATACCTATTTGTCTATCAAAACTTTCAGATCATAAAACTATTTATGTTTTTTGATGCCAATCTTAGAAGGTCTCTAGTGATCGAATGCCAATTTTTTGGATTTTCAATTTATTTTGATTTTGTAAATAATTTATTAAAAATAAATATTTATTTTAAATTGTTTAAACTAAACAATGAACTAAACTAAATAAGAATAATATTTAGTTGTGTGCCCACATAAAAAATTGAGCATTCCATTAGTTAAAATCATTTAAGAAGAATTTAACTAAAGAACAAATATAATTTGTGTTTCATTATAATATTAATAAATATTTGCTAAATATTTTGAATTTCTATTTCAAAAGGGTGCCATTACTAAGTAAACAATTTAATTATAAATATTTAAAAAATAAAACATTTACAAACAAACAACATCAATGAATTAATTGTTCCTTTCATTAAAACTATATAAATTTATTTCACACCTTTGGTGATCTGTTTCTTTTTATTTGCAAATAATTTTCTGTAAGCGAAATTTATTTAATTCATTCGTGATTTAGACTGGATTAATATTAAAAAAATATGTACATGAATTTAGAAAAATCTGAAAATTTTTTTTATGTCGAATTTCACCGCTATATTCGTACTTTTGAAACAGATATGCCCATTAAAGCTGTTTTTCGGGGGTCCACTTGTATCCGAAAACGTGGACCGATATTGCCCATTTTCAATATCAAACAAAAAATTTCAATCCTCTATCTCGTTCCATTAGGACTCTATCGTGCTTTCAACAGACAAACAGACAGACGGACGGACAGACATGGCTAGATCGTCTTAGAATATATATATACTTTTGTAGGTCTATGACCAATATTTCGATGTGTTACAAACGGAATGACAAAATCAATATCTTTTTTGACGGTGGGTATAAAAATTATTTTAATCACCAATACATCAATGAAGTGTGAAAAATAAATTAACAATATTATTATTAAAAAAAAAACACATAATTACTGGAACTTATAACTTTTTAATTGATTTAAAAACAAAATTTAAAAAAAAATTTGAACACACACACACAACTAATTATTTTTTAATGTTTGTTGATAGCTCTCTAATTGATTGAAATAATATAAGGGCTTGCGATAGCAACATATTTAAGAAGACTATTTTAAAATTTGCAAATACTTTGATTGTTTTATTAAAGCTATATTTACACGATTACCTAACAATATGCTGACAATTAATTATTGCCATGGAAAAAGAGATTGTCAGTTCACAACACACATACATTTGTCAGTAAATCTGACAATTCATGGTAAGACAATTATCTGACAAATATTGTCAGTTTACACTGTAGTCAGAATCTATTTTTGACGCTTAAACCTTTTGTTGGCCTATTTTGTGGTTGACAATCATACCGTTGTTAGATGCTAAAAATTGGAGCATCTGAAAATGTTTGACAGTGACAACGATACATTTCAGAGTTTTGTCGATTTAGTTATCAAGCTTTCTGTGACAACATTGCCAGATAAAATTATAAAATTACACGATTGTACGAAATTTTCTGAAAATATTGTTTGATTTTGTTAAAATTTAATACTTGTTAATTTTTTTCTGATTTTTTTTTTATATGACAGACTTGTCAAAAATAATAATAATTACGTTTGAATCCTTGAGAGCATTTGCAGTTTTTCTTATAAAATTAATTTGATTTTATTTTTTGCTTTTATTTACATGAACAAATACACATACATACAGTAATTAAAATTTTGATAAAATCTCAGAAACATGCCTTAAATCTTGACTTTTTAGATTAAATAAAGGTGTGAGTATATACTTAAATGAGGACATAAATCAATATTTTACCTACATATAAACACATTTACACATTATTAAAATGTTATAAATGCCAAATATTTAAGAACTTTTTTAAATACATACATATGTATGTGTGTATGACATTACAACCAACAGTTCTAGAAGACTGTCCTGTTTAGTAGTGGACAACACTGGCTACATAATTAGCTACATATACATACACCGTTTACAAATGTACTACTAGAGTAAAGTAATCTAGAGTATCTACACTATACATTACTTAGTGTCAAAAACGTGATAATATACCTTACGGCACATTATTTGTGATATGTTTGATAAGAAATTAGTAAAAATCTAATTTCCTATTTAAATGGATACAATTGTAATGTATGTGTGCAAAAACACCTGTGTAGTAAAATATGTGTCTTAAATAGAGCGGGGTGCATAATTCGAAGAATTACTCAAACCAATCTATATAGATTTGCCATAAAATAATCGATAACTGTAATAAAACAAATCACTTTCTAAGAAATCCATTGTTGTGTGTATGATTGTTTGTAAGAAACGTATGTATTTACTAATGGAGTATTAATTACCATAGTTTTCATTCATTGCTTTATATGAAACGTCAAATGTTAAAGTAATAATTAAATTACAATTCCTCTAAGATAAAGGAAAAATTAGCATAGAAAAGTATTTCTAATTTGTAAAAAGTAGGTAAAGCTAAGTTAAATTAATAATTTTGCTTTTGTTATTCCGTTTGAACAGCCTTTTTAAGTATTTCATTTAGGAATACCACTCAATCGATACGTATTAATATACTGAACAAGAGAAAAATAAAAAAAATTTTTGTAATGGTCCTCAAATCCCTTCCAGCGGTTAAAAATCCTGACATCAGTATAATTTTTGAAAAATCAAATATCTTAGATTTTTTGGAAATAGGTCTCAAAAATTCCGTAATTTTAAGGTGATTACGGGAAAAATAATTTTTGTAGAGTGTTATTGGTCCACAAAATCATTTTTAGTGGGTTGGAGAGGCATATTATTTTCGCTTTTTATCGAATTGTTGCAATTTTCAGCTCATAAAGAGGAATATTTAAAACATAATTGCATCTGGTTTAGTCCATTTCAGAATTTTTTGAAATTTATATGCCCCCTTTAATGTAATAAAAGTCGTTTTGCGAACCAGAAATACAGTAAAAAGATTTTAATTATTTTTCCCGCGATAAGCTTAAAATTACGGATACCCAATTCGAAAAGATTGCAGAAAAATTTACTGATCATATTGTACTGAGATCAAGATTTTCAATCGCAGACCTTTTCAAAAAAATTGTTTATTATTTTTGTGATATAGATAACACGGTGTGACAAAATTACAAAAAATCAATACCCTCAACGCGAGACCTAAAGAAGTTGGTAGGTCTAGTAGAGTAGATTACAGTACAATTAGGGTATATTGAAGATTCTAAAAATGGTAAAATTATTTATTTACTCATCTAGGTCTATAAAAATCATTATATCGCGTAATGCGTA